TGCGGTTTATGCATGATGGAGCTCCGCCGCATTTTAGCCGAGTGGCTAGGCAATATTTAAATCAACACTTTGCAAATAAATGGATTGGTCGTGGAGGCCTATTGCATGGCCTGCTCGTTTTCCGAATTTGAATCCATTAGATTTTCATTTGTGGGGACATTTAAAATCTATTGTATACGCTGCATCGATTAAAAATGTTGAAATACTACGAAATAGAATAGAGCAAGTCTTCCGACAAATTCGAGAAACACCAGGAACGAGGATAGAGAGAGTAACCAGATGAATGACAAGACGCGTGCAGGCTTGTCTTCAAATGCAAGGTGGTCATTTCGAGCATCTTTTGTAAAAGTAATTAAAACAGAAAATTCATTATATCTCATAAACGAAGACAGATAGGACATACATTTATATGACTTTTTTTCATTATTCTTAGGCGTACAATCAGCTCCCGAAGTGGGTCCCACAAGTTACGAAACACCCTGTATAATATAAGATATAATATATTACATACAATAACAATTGTATGTAAATGTATGAAATTTATTTGGCGTATTTTGTTCGCAATGTACTCAGTTGAAAGTGTGAAAGTTAATCTAATTTTTAATGTCGCAAACACTTGTATGTATTCTAATCTATCGTTTTTAAATTTATCGATTCTGCAAAATACATTCCAACCAGAATACACCGCTGCAACGTACTGCTGCGACCTTTATGAAGCAATTTTTTTATTTGGTTAACAGAGCAAGTAGGTCGAAGACGTAACTTTTAATAAACTTACATTGTAATCTGCTCCGTACTGTATCTAAAGGGAAGAACGTTGCCATGGCAATGACGCCACCCTGCAAAGTACCATTATTAAACATTAATTTACATTTCATTAAACATGTAATAACTCGTTCTTTAGGTTGCGTGTACTCACGGTAGCACCGGATATCGCGTGAACTAGCGTTTCATAACTGAAAATGCTCCTACTGCATTCTCCGTCACCCATCTTTGCAAACAATTTGATTTTTTGACTTGCACTAAGTATTTTTCGCTGAATTTTCTGTCATGTTGTTAATATCAATAATTACTCTGTAAACAATTTGAACATTAAATAGAACAAAGATAATCGTTTTTACATAAGCAGCTTGATTCTAGATTTTCAATATTTCGTAACAAATCGAAAGATTAATCGAACCAAAATCGATTGCTGCACGTATATACATATTCCCAAGCGATCGATATAAATTTCGTAATTCCGTTTCGTGTGAAATTCGATTTGAAACAATGCTAAAATCAACATTTGACAAAATCGTTGGAATTTTTTTTTACGACTTAACGATAATTCTATAAATTTCAACTTAATTATCACTGTCGATAAGTAGGTAGAATCTACGAGCAACATAGTAGCAAACGATCCCGAAGGACATAGTGTAGTAATTTAATATTTAAAGCTTTCACGTTGATCGAGAAATCACCTTATTTATCAAACGGCGTGTTGACACTGACAGGAGACACTTTCAGGAAAAGGATCGTCACTGAGAGTAAACAAGAAATCTACGTGCCAATTGTGTAAAGTCACTGCTCGCGAATGGCCGTTCCGTGTACTTATATACTTGATTTTTATATCGGACATGGATGAACATTCCAATCATAAGTACGTCAAACGTCATGAAACGAGCGGACTAGTGCCTCAGAGACGAAGTCCAATCAATGGACAAATACAAAGTCTTCGGTGCCTTCTGCTCTCGTTAAAATCATTGACTAATGATGGAATAGACGCGTCGTTAAATGGGATATTGCGTCCCGCGTTCTGAAATACCGACCGATTCGCTACGGCGTGCGCACGAATTACATCTAACTTAATCGTCAAAGGCGATAAAGTCGCAGTTAACACGTTTGATTGAAGAAATAAACTTATAGACATTTTATTAAATCAGTTCTTTTATTTGCTAAATGAGAAGAAAGAAATTTTCTAACTTTTGTTCAGATAAAAACTGAAATGAAATAATACGCAATTATGTATTGCGATTATTTCCACAATCGATATCTATGAATATCGAATTCATATTGAATTCTAATGTGATCGATATTTTTCGCAATTGATCTGTAGTATTGAAGTGTAACGTACGGGTAACGGTCGGTTTTACGTGGAAAGCACGCAAAGGAAATATTATCCAGAATTTGTGAATCAGGTAAAGATTACAATCAATAGCTTTTAAACTTGTGTTTGCATTATTGGGTATTTCTGCGATTTAGAACAGTGAATATTATTTAAATATTGAATATTATATATGTATATATTGAATTCACTCCCTTGTTGGTTAGAAATGACTATATGCGTATTCTATATACAGAGTGTCATGATTTTGAAACTTTGAGAATGCGTAAAAAATTGATGAAAAAAAGTCCTTTAGAGATTTGCCCCAATTTAGAGAAAATTGCGAAAACAAATTTTCATTTTCTTACTTATTCACTTATTGTTATTACTTAAGTTTATTCGATGCCAATCAATTCAAGAGAGCAACTGACCATATTGTAGTTTGGTATATTAATTGCTAGAACAATATCTAGCTGTAATTAGAATGGTCAATGTTCAATTTAATGCTTTCATTGTTGCGAATAGCTAGCACTTTGAACAGTATTCTCATTAAATATATAATACAACAGATGATAATAGATAATATTATAATAATAATATTATCTAATATATAATAATATTATAAGATATAACATAACAGATGATAATAGATGATTATAAGATGATAATATGCATCATAAAATAGATAAAATAACATTCGTAATGAACGTAAACAAATAAGTAGAAAAACGAAAATTTCTTTCTTTCTTTTTTCACGATTTTCTCCAAAACTGAGAGACAAACAAAAAGAATTTTTTTTTTTAGTTTATCAATTTATGCTACTGAAGTTTTAAACATTTAAATTTACACTCTGTATAGTGACTTACTACGAAATATTTGAATACTTAAGATATAAGAATATTTGAATACTTAAGATAGAAACTTTAGAATTTGACAAAAATTCAAGAAGCCTTAATATTTTAAAATGGCGAGAGAATAGTGAGTTTTATGGTATCGTTGCAAAAGGAAAGTTTCGCTCTTCGAGATGGTGATTTTAATCGCAAAGAAAATTTTTCTGTGAGTTTGAACTTTCACAATTTTCGAGGACGAAAGTATCCTTGCTTTCTTATTCGCTGCACGATGTAAGAACATTTTTGAAAAGGAATATTAATGTAGAGATTTTATTCTTCAAAACAGTGTTAAACAAATTGCTCTTTTTTATAAAGTTCTAATAGTTTAAAGTCTCAATCACAACTTTTCATCAAGCTTGCAAATACTTTTGTGCGTCAGTTCGAAAAAATTAAAAATTGATATACTCACTCGACATTGTAAATCCTCTAGGTTCTTTGATCGATATTGCAAGTCGCTCACGAGACACAATAAGCTTTAGTTTCTATGTTTTATTACCTGGCACAATTATTTCAATATTAACACGAAATATTTACACGTTGAGAAATATAAAACATACCGACACACAAAGGTGTTGTGAAACCTATTTAAGAGTAAAGAAAGGTCAAATTCGTGACTGAGTAAGTAATTAAAAAAACAAAAGAAAAGTTAAATTGCAAATGAACGTATTAAAAGTTAAGATAAATGTTCATCAATTTAGAAAAGATGTTAAAAAGGAAAGTAACGTTATAAAATAAAAAAGAGAAGTCAAGAATCTTTCGTCTTCTTCAACTAGTACCGCAGAAAGAAGGTAGTTCATTCTCGAATCCCTGACGCATTATGGTTGCGGAGAGGAGAAGAGAGAATTTCAGATGGCGGACATCCGTCGTGCGAAATTTCGCAGCTCGTTCGTGGTTATCACTAGCGCGTTTCAAGATATCTCGTATTTATTTCTCCCCGGGGAATTCCCGTGCCCGTCCTTTCTCGAATTTCCTCCCCTCGTGCGAATGAAACTCGCCCGGCAGAACACGTTGCACTGTTCCCACGAGCAGTTTGTCTTACGATCGCGCGAAAAATGATTTGTATCTCATTCTCTTTCCGCTGCGTTTCTCTTTACCGGCGAATAGCAAATACTTCTCCCAGACTGCTTACGCTCGCGTGCAAACATCATCAAAGAGAATGACTCTCGCAATAATCGGTATTTACATTTCTCTAAGGAGAAGAAGAATTAAATGAACGGAGATGTCTTTGGGAGGGAAGACGAACATATTTTCTTTTTTTTTTTTGCTTTCTCCTCGTTTATTATGATCTTTGTTTACTGTAGGAATCTACGTAGGTTTCGACGCTGTGAAATTTGAAATTTAACCACTTGCTGGTTACCAACCAACTGATTGCGGACCATAACGAGTGATCGAAACGTATACAATAATTTGTCGCTTTCTTTTTGAACCCGTCGATATGACATCCACTGGATAGAAATTATTGATTAGTAATAAATTTATTATTTGTTTTGTCTGGGTTATACTTAAATATACTTAAAACTGAGAAAATATTACACTCGACAAAAAGTTCTCGACGTGCGTGGGCACGTCATTGCAGCGCAAAAGGTTAAACCACTTGCGCCGGCAACTAATTGCGGACCATAACGAGTGACCGAACCATCTACAACAATTTTGTCGCTTTCTTTTTGAATTCGTCGGTATGATATCACTTGATAGAAATTATTGAGAAATAATAAATTTATTATTTGTTTCTCCTGGGTTATATATTATATTATATTAAATATATATTATATACATTATATTATATAATATAGATTTTATATATATATATATAAATTATTGTTTTCCCTGGGTTATATATTATATTATATTAAATATATATATAATATATATTGTATTAAATATACTTAAAACTGAGAAAATATTACACTCGACAAAAAGTTCTCGACGTGCGTGGCACGTCATTGCAGCGCAAGAGGTTAAACCACTTGCGCCGGCAACTAATTGCGGACCATAACGAGTGACCGAACCATCTACAACAATTTTGTCGCTTTCTCTTTGAATTCGTATGATATTCTATTTGAATTCGTATCGGTATGATATCACTTGATAGAAATTATTGAGAAATAATAAATTTATTATTTGTTTTTCCTGGGTTATATATTATATTATATTAAATATATATTATATACATTATATTATATAATATAGATTATATATATATAAATTATTGTTTTTCCTGGGTTATATATTATATTATATTAAATATATATAATATATATTGTTATTAAATATACTTAGAACTGAGGAAATTCTGCAATTTTGGGACAAAAGATTCTTGACGTGCGTGGCACGAGGTTGAAATTCGAGGCTTTGGATCTTCTCTTGGAGTCCGATCTTCGAAATAGCTGCGCCCATTTTGTTCAACAGAGAATGTCTGTTGAAATGAGATCAGATATTGTGAAATTGTTTTCTCCGAGTGTGCTGAAGAATCGGGTCGATCAGTTGCACGTCTAATTACGCGAGAATTCGTTTCCATGTTCTCCCGCGCGCGAAACCTCGAGCAATGAGGTTTCGTTTGCCGACCTCTCTAATTTATTAGTGTTTTGTCAATGACGACGTGGACGTTACGGCGTTAGAGTATAAAGTTTAAAGAGGTTAACAAACAGATGAACAGGTTAACAAATGAACACGCCAGGATGGCTTTAAGATCTTTATTTATTTAATTAAAACACGCGCAGAAAAAGAAGAAAGAAAAGAAAAAAAACTGTTGCATCTACGTCGGTATTACCTTGCCGGGGATAAAGGAGACACATCGCATGATGCACGAGCTTTGTGACGCCTCGTCCGAAATTCTCCAAGTTCTTGGCGGAGTTTAATTAAACATTCCGCGCCTCTGGAATTTTGTGGTCATCTCGATCCCTCTGTACTGAAACTCCTCCTAATGGGTTCTGCCGTTTGAATCTTGATGCGTAAGCAGGCGATACGTCGCCGTTCGTCGTGTCAACGCGATTTAATTTCTTTTTACTTCGATCGCCCTTTTTATTTTGTCTCTTTTATCTTTGGCTAGAAAAATCTGAATATTTTCATGCAGGCCAGAAGTATGTGAACCAGCGTTTTCGAGTCACGATTCCAATCATTCCGTTCGCGTGTCTTATATAATGTGACTAACATTTGCGTAAGACGTTTAAAATAGGATTATCTCAGGAAAAATTTCATTTGAAGTCGTCAGACGAATCTGTAATGAAGGAAAAGTCAATTAGCAAAGGCATTAAGTCGGCAAAGGAGGAGATCTCCGCTCCGGGGAGAACGGAAGCGTAGCTTTCAATGTCAGAAGTCAGACTTCTTGAGGATCGATTAATTTGCAGTGAATCAAAACATTGTTCCTGGCAAATGACGCTCATAAGTAATCATCTCTTTCGTTCGAGTAGCGTGGACGAGCCAGAGATTTAACTTTTGCTCGAGGATCTCCGTCGTATCGACTTTGAAATTTCGTTCAACAATTGTTGAGAGTATCTTTCGACTGGAAGGAAAGCGACGACGGTGACGTTAGTTTTTTAAATTAAATTTCCATCGTGGCGTTTGTGATGATGCAAAGCAAAGCGAATTATAGGGAATTTCAACAATTGTCAAATCAATGAAGCATGTATAAATGCTGAATTTTGACTGTTCTTTTTTTTTTCTTCCATTGATTGAATATTCAGAAGAAAATTCATTGGAAACAGAGTCGAAGTAAAATTCGAAAAATTCTGAAGGAATAATAAGGGACGATGTTTCAATTGAATCATAGTGATTGAACCGCCTGTAATCGGGAGCAAGAACGATTAGAACGGAAGCGCCGCAATCGGGAAATTAATTAACGTGTTAATCGAATAATTGGCCTCAGCCAGGGACTCGCGGTAGATCTACGGAGAAACTTCCTTTCATAGGACTGATTAACCCATCGAGAATTGTGAGAAAGATGTTTCTTCCTTTGCGTGGGGTTGTTAGGAACACGTTGGCTCGAAAGCACGAATAGAAAATAAACGGATTCGAATCAGCTCGTTTCAGAACTGTTTACTTTCACCGAGTTTTCGATACTTCTTTTCGTACCGTTGCCATCGCAACCGTGATGGAGATGTAAATGATATTAAGTTAATTTCCCTTAACGAAATATCACGCAGGCACTTTTTCTTCCTTTCGACTGAAAAAAATGGGATTTTTTTAATTAACTCGTTAGTCAATTAATTAACTAATTATTGAGTTGAGAGGGGAAAGTTTCTTCTTTTGATAAATGGTTCATGGGATAGCGTAACTCTGATAATATTAATTGGATCTGGCAATACTCGCGTGCGTTTGAAAGGTGATACGTATCATAAATATTAATTTAAAAAAAAGTTGCGACGTTTGTTTATTCAGTTAAAAGTTCCACAGTGACGCGATTGTGTTATGGTTTTATCTCGGAAAATGGGAAAACCCGCACGAACAAAAATCAGTCAGAAACATTTGACTTGTATAAACTTCGTTTAACAACTTGCGCTGGCAACTGGTTCGCGGACCATAACGAACGACCGAATCGTATACAATAATTCGTCGCTTTCTTTTTCTTTTGAACTCGTCGATATCACTGGATAGAAATTATCAAGAAATAATAAATTTATTATTTAGCCTGGGTTACATTTACACATGCTTAAAACTGAGGAAATATTATGTTACACATTCCAGCGCAAGAGGTTAAAATGAAGAGGAAAGAAACTTGTTTCACTTTTCCACTAAAATACGAAGAAACTTCTTCTCGAACCCAATTATTTCACTTGTTTAGACGAAAGAAACAGGATGTACGTTGAAAAGAGAAGAGGAAATAAAGGACGTGTTGATATTGTTTACGCATTTATTACAAGAGAACGAAATGTTTCTTTGGTCCGAAAATCAGGGGTGAGGTTTTACGAAAAGATGCGTCTCTCTTACATGATTTGTTTCTGCGCGTTTCGATTGGAAAGGTCGCGAGTTTTTATTAACGTCGTGCAATCGCTCGCGACAGGTGTTGGAATAAATCGTTCGTTCCTCTCTGCCTCTGTCGGGAAGAGTTTACTTTTAATTCCTGTTGTCCGGCTCGCGTTTCAGATCGAATTTTCGAATCGATATTAATTGGACGAATGAATTTCACCGTTCAAATTCGACACGTGTTTGAAAACTGATTCGAAAGCTCCGCCATGATTGATCAACGCATCCGATACGCTTCCGTACAATATGTTTGGTACAATAGTGCGCCATACGTCGTACCGTTACGAGTAAATTAGCTATATACACGTACAATGGTATTTGGTTCGTGTCGGCTTAACAATCATGCTTAAATAGAATCAAAGTGTCGCGATCAGTCGACCATTTCAACAAGGACACGTCGAACTTGAACTATCGAAAGTTTTCGAAATTCTTGCCGTGTTCAGCTGAATCGAGTTCGAGTACAGTTGGCTTGCCAATCTCTCTCTACCAATGAAAAAGAAATTGTCCAGAGGAAAATTGTTCGACAGGTCTCTCGGTCGCGAAAGCTCTCGATAAGTGAAAGAAGATTCAATTACATCGGCTAAAGAATAAGAATGGTCGACTGTTCGTAGCTTGATGTAGCGTACCGAAAGATCTAGAGATATTTTCTCTCTCTCTCTCTCTCTCTTTCTCTTTCGTTTCAGCCGCGAACTGAGAGCGTTGCCGCTCCTGCGCTTTTCTCCATCGACGTTGAACGTTGATTAACTTGACGACGATTGACCCTCTGACGATTGTGTCTTACTTTAATAATGCATGTCACTCCCGGGACTTAGCTACGCTAGAGAGCTAGTTTCTTTAATTAATTAAGGCGAGCAGCGTGGTCGGTTCAAACGTTCCTCCTCGTTTCCAGACGATCCTCGCCCAGACGATCCCTCTCGTCCATGCTTGTGCATCACACCAAACGTACAAAAACAATACCGCGATATATCGATTCGCAATATATACAGAGTTGGCTGGTATTCGTAGTACAACCGAGCAGGAGATGATTCTACGTCAAAAAATGAGAAGAAAAATTGGTATAACATATTTTTATCTGGGGCTCGGTTTTCGAGAAACTCGACTTTAAAGTTTGTTCATCTTTGAGTTTCTATGCATTGAATTGCCTTCGTTGTTAGAGGATGTACCCTTAGCTGCTATAAGAAGTGTGATTTTCCAACATGACGGTGCACCGCCACATTACACGTGGGAGGTTGAAAATTTTTTTTAAATCAAACGTATTCGCGTTGAATCGGCCGCGATGGTAAGGTACGTTGGCCACCAATGTCCCCGGTCTTCACGCCTCTAGATTCTTTTTTATGGAGCATATCAAAGAACAAGTTTATAAAGACAATAGTTCAAATATTACACATTTGAAGCAAAAGATTATGGAGGAATTCGAGAAATGAAAAAAACGACATCAGCTTACATTCCGTTCAGATATCATTAATTCGTCGAGCAAACTTGCGTATGCAGCAACGAGGAGGACATTTTCAACAATACTTGTAACAGCGTACTGTATCGTAGTATTGCAACAGAAAGTAGCAATAAGGAATAAAAAGTTAATTATCAGTCGGAACACTTTGTACTGCTTTAACCACACAATGAATAACGTTTGTAAACACCATCTCGGACGGAGACAACCGCGGTAAAAGAATAGACAACTAAATCGTTCGCAAAGATGAACAAACTTCAAAGTCGATTTTCTCGAAAACCGAGCCGAACAGATAAAAAAATGTTATACCAAATTTTTTCTTTATTTTTTTAACGTAGAATCATCCCCCTGCTCGGTTGTACTACGAATTCCTGCCCACCCTGTGGATGAACCACGAACATTTCTTTATTTCTTCTCCTCTTTGTTCTCCGTATTCCGTTTGATACGCTCGATGAATGAGCGAGCGTTAAAAAGAAAGGAAGAAACCATCCTCTTTTACTGGAACGTCTCGTCGCACGAGGGGATCGCGTTCATCGGCGAGGATCGTCCTTGAGATCCCGGGACCCATCCGAGGATTTTCGAGGGTTCATTCTCACGAGTAGGATTCCCCGCGAGAGGTATCACTGAATGGTACAGGTTTTCCTGGCGTCGGTGGTTCGCAGTGTGATTCTGGATCCCGGCGCGTTGTTCTCGTTCCCGGCTGCGAGGGAGCACGTCTTCGTCCTCATGATCATCAGGTCCGTCCTGATGCTTGGTCGGCGCACGTTCGGCGCCACGACGCCGCACGCGTCGCTCAGCCGCCGCTTTATACTCAGGGTGGCTTTGTGCCTCGGCTGGAAACAAATCGTCGTTCTTTCGTCAAACAGTTTTCGAGAAAAGGCGGCCCCTTTTCGACGACGACAATTCCCTAACAGGGAGGAAGGGGAGGCGCAGTAGTTCTGATTGAGAATTCACATGACATTTGTGTGAATAACTTTTTTTGACATAAGACATGTACAATTCCTTTCCAACGGTATGCAATACCAAACGATACGTTTCACGTTTAATCACTGTTTTGTTAACTTTATAAACAAATTAGTCCAATTATTTATTTCATAGTCTACTGTATTTCCGAGTTAATTTAACTGATCATACGTGAATGAAACTTTTAATTTTAATATTGAAATTATGAACGAAATCGAGTAGTATTGAATTTAGTATGAAATGAGGAATTAAAATAAAATTAACTTATATATTTGAGTTGAATGTTATTATAATATAGAAAGTAAATCATTTATTATGTAATTGATATTAAAATATTTGAATGAAATTATAAAGATAATTAAAATTTTTTTATTGGAAATAAATTGCAATAATATAAAATTTACAATGCTTAGATTTAAATATAAAAATTTTGAAATTTAAATTATATAAAATTATTAAAATTAAAGTAATAATAAAAATGAGTAAGTTAATGTAAGTTTATATATATATATATATATATATATATAATATATATTAATATCTTATATATATCTTAATTATCCAAACTAATATTTATTATATAATTTGTTATATTTGTATAATATTGTATCTTGAAAGGTACTGCTTGTCAAAGGTAAACAATTTTCTTAATTTTCTTTATTCCGTTCAAATATTTTAAAAAAATTATGCACACCATAATTTGCAATGGGAATCTTAATGATTTATCATTAAGAAAGACCATGTTTCATCGTGGAGAAAAAATTCAGGATAAAAAGTTAAACACAGTTGTCAGGCGACACTTCAAGGAAGAAGAATCAAATTACATATTTGACGAGAATCGAGATTTTTAAAATGATTCTAACTTCAGCTCCTGAACTAAATAGCTTATAGCTTATTATAGCTTCTGTTTTTGACTAAAATTACTATTACTTTTTTCATTTTCGTGGTTGGGATTTGGACATTTAGGAATAATCGATATATATTTAAAAAAAAAAAAAATGTCAAAATGAGAAAGTTGAGTTTCTTGTCAAATGTCGCCTGGATTTCTCAATTTGATCCACTGTGCGGGGGGGAGGACATAGTTGTTTTATCGACTTGACGCGTTCGTCACGAATGGATAGATAATAACCTACCATAATCCCTCTCTGTCGCGAGCTGCCATTTTTTTTGTCCTCCGCAAAAATTTGCCAATTGTTCAATACGCCGAATTCGAGCGATCATTCACGTTTTCTCTGTCGTTCGTTCGAGCTCCCGCCGCGGATATTTCCAAAGCGGGTATTTTCGAATCGCGTTCGCGTTGTTTCAGCTCCGCAGCTTCGTTTCTTTTTTTTTTTTTTTTCCGAACTTCTCGGTTTAATTTCCATCGAGAGGCACCTGAAGCAGCCTTTGAGAACGTCGTGGAAACGCGCTTTCAGCGTACGAGTTGCCGCACTTTGGTTGTCAAGTTTCGACCGGCGACGAGGAGTGAGCCGTTCACTTTGAAAGCGGCGCGAGTCACCGTGTTTTTTTTTTTTTTTTAATCGAGATATTTAACCTGTCGTTCCTGACGACTCGCCTAAACTCCTGTCGATAAAATGTCAGCGAAATTGTTTTTTTGAAGCGAAAGGATTCGTTTGATCGAATTTTTTCCAATTTTCTTTTAAAATGAAAAGATCGCGCAGTCACCGTAATTTCATAGAAAATTTAAAAGTGACCGCCGAAACAAACCGCTCAAACATTGAAAGGAAATCGTTTGATCGTTTGAAGGAATTTCTTCAAAATGAAAAGGTCGCGTAGACCTGTAAACTACTCTGATCGTTAGCTTATTTGAAGATTTAAACGTGACTTTCGAGATAAATCACTCGAATATTGGCTCGACTGTAAATTTCGAAAAGGAGCGTGCAACAACGATTGACAATTATTCACCTGTGACGGTGGTAACATAGTAGGGGAACCGAAAGTGAGTGGAACTTTTCTGTGATGATTCGGCGCCATTTCCAACGGCAAGCCGGCCACTACGAACAGTTGGTAGAAAAGCTCTTCCACGTGGTAGTTCCTCTTTGCGGACGCCTCGACGAAAACGCAGCAATCGTCCTGGCTGTTGCAGTACTCCTCGGCCTCCTCGACCGTCACCGTTCTGTGAAACAGCCTTTTGTTTGCAACGTGCTTGCAATCACGATCGTTCGAGCGAATTAATTCGATGTGTGCCGTCGGTGGAATAATTCGCGGTTAGTTATACGAAACGTCTTGATTGTGCAAACGTGTAAACGAAGGTGCTCGAGATAATCGGCGAGGGTATACGGAAAATATTGCACGAGCGATTCGTCGAGTGGCGGTGCTTTGCATTAAAAGTGTGGAAACGGGTCAGAACACTTTAACGCGTGATCCATAAATTCGAAGTGGATGGACACTTGAGGGTTTCGAGTGACACTTTTTATCTACAGAGGCTGTAACGAGATGATAAATATCCTTTTTAAAAGAAATCCACGTTCGTCGAAACTTTGTAATGCGTAACTTTATCTACAGTGACTCCCATTAGTATTCGAACGCTTAGATATTATAGTTTTGTAAGTAAAAAAAAAAAAATCTGGGCTCATTTTACAGCTTGAAGCCCCCACTTTCAAAAAGCATTGATGAGTGAGTTTTCCCTTTTTCTCAGAAATATTGAAAATCGCTATAGTATGTAAGAACGCTGAGAAATTTGTTTCGTGACTGAATTTACGACGAATCTGAAGACTGAAGCCTCCACTTTGATGATCTTATGATCTCTGAAAATTTGACGTATAATTTTTTTCTCACTGTTCTGTTGAACTTCGAATATTGGGCTTGTACAACAAAACTCATTTTTGCTTCATATTCAAAATTCAATAAATTAACAAAGGGATTGCTGTAAAGAGAAGGACGTATGATTTCTTTTCACTATTCTATTGAACTTTGAATATTAGAATTTACATAACAAAAATCGAAGAAATCGTGACACATTTTCACTTGATATTTAAAATTGAATAAATTGGCAAAGAAAAAGTTTTCGAGGGGTTCTTATAAAGAGAAGGTTTCAATCTTTAAATCCTTCGTAGATTCAGTCACCAAAGAACACTTTTCAATGCTTTTACATACTATGCTTACCTTCACTTTCATCTGCCATATAATGCAAAGTCACTGTACTTAGTCGACGATAATTTCACGCCAATCATCGTCAATCGAACATTCATTATCTCGCGTAAGCGTGTAAAATAAACGGAGCGTTGCACGTACTTTGTTTCCTTATCACATTTATTTCCGACGATGACCATAGGAACCTTCAGGTTGAAATGGCTCCTGCTCCTGCTCTTGGTCGCGCTTTGGGTCGCGCTCACTTTAGTCTCTAGGATCGATTCACGCAGTCTGATGGCCTCCTCGAATGATTCCCGACAGTCCAAACTGAACACCACCACGAACAGATCTCCTGCGTTAAAAAAAAAAAAACGTGTTCACGATGAGCACGAATATCTGCACGTTGTGCGTTATATCCACTCGATTAAAAAAAAAAAAAAAAAATTCGAAACGGACGTCGACGTTTCATTGTGAAAATCAAACGAGAAGGAGGGAGTTTGTTATTTAACCTCTTGCGTTGGCAACTGGTTCGCGGACCATAACGAGCGACCGAACCGTATACAATAATTCGTCGCTTTCTTTTTCTTTTCAACTCGTCGGTACGATATCACTGGATAGAAACTATTGAGCAGTAATAAATTTATTATTTGTTTTGCCTATTTTGTTTTACTTAAATATACTTAAAACTGAGGAAATGTTGTAATTTCGGACAAAAAAGCATGTCACTGCAGCGCAAGAGGTTAACCACTTGCATCGGCAATTGATTGCGGACCATAACGAGTGACCAAACCGTATACAATTATTCGTCGCTTTCTTTTTCTTTTCAATTCGTCGGTACGATATCACTGGATAGAAACTATTGAGCAGTAATAAATTTATTATTTGTTTTGCCTATTTTGTTTTACTTAAATATACTTAAAACTGAGAAAATGTTGTAATTTCGGACAAAAAAGCATGTCACTGCAGCGCAAGAGGTTAACCACTTGCATCGGCAATTGATTGCGGACCATAACGAGTGACCAAACCGTATACAATTATTCGTCGCTTTCTTTTTCTTTTCAATTCGTCGGTACGATATCACTGGATAGAAACTATTGAGCAGTAATAAATTTATTATTTGTTTTGCCTATTTTGTTTTACTTAAATATACTTAAAACTGAGAAAATGTTGTAATTTCGGACAAAAAAGCATGTCACTGCAGCGCAAGAGATTAACTTCTTGCGTCGGCAATTGATTGCGGACCATAACGAGTGACCGAACCGTATACAATAATTCGTCGTTTTCTTTTTCAACCCGCCGGTATGATATCACTGGAATTATTAAAAAGTAATAAACTTATCATTTGTTTTGCCTGGGTTACATTTAAATACACTTAAAACTGAGAAAATTTTAGGACAAAAAGTTCTCCTCATTTCAGCGCAAGAGGTTAAAGAGAGTCATGCGCGCGTTATCGATAATTGCACAAATCTCGCTAACGACCGTATTTAAACTCTCGCGTGAAGTCACCATAGCTTGTTCGAAGCAACGAGCAGAAAGGAAGATTCGTATTTTAAAAAGCAGTCGCAGTTGGCGAGGATGGTAGCCAAGTCTCTCCTTTCTTTTTCTTTTCAGGCGTCGTTTATTCCTCGCGTCCAAATTATTCAGTGTCTCGTTAAGCCTGCGATCAGCTTTTTACATCGTTGCTTCGAGTGCCTGTGGAGTGCTCGCAACGAGTGAACTTCTTGCCAAACTTCTTGCTGGTCAAGTTCTTTGACGAAACGAGGCTGACTCGAGTATCGCGTAATTGCGGATGGATCAATGTTAGATAAAGCTCGATTCTTCTTTCAGCCTTGCGTACATTCAACGTTCAAGAACTACAAAAGTGATCGAAAATGATCAATTTGTAATTTTTCGTTGGATTTTACATTTACAGATGTAAAACACAGTTTATGTTTAGAGATTTAACACCTGAGTGTATACTTTGTTTACGTCGTTCGATACAGTCTCGCAAGATCACAGTAGATTACATCCAGCACCCCAATTTTCAGAAAATTTTGTAAAAATTGTCATGAAGAAAATATAACACTGCTGGGTAGATATATTAGTAGAAACGTGACTAAGAAAGTTACAACATTCCATATTTGCGATGGGTGCAAAGGGAAACCACATTTTTGCCTAAGCTGTTTTAATAAAACCCATTAAAATTATTATTGCATTATTATACAGTATATAATATATACTACATACAGTATAATATAATAATATAATAATAATAATTTTATAATATCGAATATATTATTTTATCTATTATAAAATGATATAATTATATAAGTTTATAATAGATACAATTTTATATAATAAAATTATATTATAATTTAATATAATTTTATATTTATTATATAAAATTGTATCTATTATTATAATTATATTTATTATGTACAATTAATGTTGCATTATTATATTGTATATAATAAATATATACAATTTTATATAACAAACGTCAATAGAAGCAATATTTAGCTACCATTCTTTCCTGTAATCTAAAAGCTTTTCAATTTTTAGTATGTTTGTACTAAATTTGCCTCGTCGGTCACCGACACGACACCTGACGTGTTAAATGATTTTTCGTAAAAATGTGTACAAATGTACACATACAAAGTTTCTCATTTCTTTTTTTCTCCTTTTCAACATTTCTGATGAAAATATTACGTTTGAATCGTCGGTAGTTCTTCAGCGTTAATGAAAGAAGGCTGTTTTTTGAATGATACGCTCGCGTACACGATTTCGTGTAAACGTTCTGTACATGTTCATTATCGACAACGAATGAATATATGTATATATCAGCCTTATGAATATATGTATATATCAGCGTGGTTATTTTTATCGCGCGGAACTTGTGTGCATGTGCACGTATATTCGTACGGTCTCTCGTTGCCCCCCGATCGAGTTTTAACGAGTTTCTCTTCCGCTTAAAATCCTCCGCGGAACAAAAGAACCGGCGCGGCGTCGAGAAATCGATCGACTCGTTTGTCAACGGGACAGGAGAGAGTGTGCGTGTGAGAGAGAGAGAGAGAGAGAGAGAGAGAAAGAGCCTCTGATCCGGGGGTTTTTCTCCGAGTCCGCTGGTCGAAAGTTTCCGGGGCGATTTCTGAAAGGTTCCCGGAAGGTTACGACCTCGGCAACAGTGTCATTAAAGTGACAAAAACAGCGCAGGCCTCGCTCCACTTTTCTTCAAATCTCTCTCTTTCGGTGCGAGACCGCGCCTTTCGTTCTTTCATAAACGCAGAAAAGGTAACAAAAGTTTTGAGTTTGGAAAATGTGTATACAGACGCACGTACGTACGTGTATATTGAAATATAACCGGTAGGCTGGTATTTAACCAAGTAAACTACGTAATTTCGAATTTCTTGTTTTTTTCCTTGTTCTCGAACTTTCTGCGAATCTTTTACTTTTTTTCTTCTTAGGTGTTCGCGTCGCTTCTTATTGTATTTTCCCTCAAAAACATAATGTTCGTAACGTTGAAGTTGCTGAAAATTTCTTGATTTTGCTTTGATTCTGCTGAGTGATAAAAAGTGATAAGATACGCGCGTCGCAAAATGAAGTGAAAATAGTGCTTCGTCGTGAGGAAAGATGCGAACTGAAACTACGAAACGACGTACAGTGCCCACTTAAGCGTCCACAGTCGACTTCTGTGACGGAAAGAGCGAGGATGAGCGTCAATTGTTATTTCAATATCTGGCACGTGCGGTGAATTCCAATATTGTTTACTACGTTATTCGACTGCAAAGGAATTTAAATTTAACATTTTATTTAAACTGAATACATTGAAACGTACATACTTTTAAACTAAATAAAGCAATAATATATTGTGATAAAGCAATAATTATCAAATGATTGTAACTAATCTAAATTTATTGTACGTACATACTTTTAAACTAAATAAAGCAATAATATATTGTAATAAAGCAATAATTATCAAATGATTGTAACTAATCTAAATTTATTGAAATTTCCTTATTTTTAATAAGGATACTGTATTAATACATATACATTGAATATATATATTTTTTATTTACTGTGTTGTGTTTTGCGCGGTCAAACAGTGAAGTAACGTAAAGGAAATTAGTCCCAATTCCAAGAATTGGTAGCTATGGACGTTTAAGTGGGCAAAAGCGCGGACGTTTAAAGTTTCGAACAATATTGCGATCTTGCTAATACTGTCAAAGATGAAATTAATGAAATTAGCAACACAAATTGATCATGAAAAACAAATTAATTACGCGAAAAGTTTCGACTAATACTGCAATCTTGCTAACACTGATAAAGATGAAATCAACAAAATTACAAAATGAACGCAAATTGATCATGAAAATAAATAAATTAATCAATTAATTGATCGACAATTTAAAGGGAAATTTTTTATTATGAAAATTGTTGCAATAAAATTCAACGATCCTAAAATATTGATGGAGATGAATGATAAGTTAGAAGGTTGAGTAGGAAAGTCGACCACACCGAGCGACCGTAAAGAAAAAGCAATTCTATGTGGAGAGATTAGAAGCGTTTGAAAGCTCTAGCTTAGATTCATCAGAAATCCTGAAATATCCTTCAGCTTTCACGAGTACGTTTCTCTTTCGCGCCTTTTCCCACGAGCTCGCGGCGTCCAAAGAACGGGGCCGAGCGCGTGCAAAGCCTCGCCTCTGAACTTTGCTCCACGTTCCGAACGTTCCTCGCGTCAGCTACCTTGTTTCAAACTCCCTCTTCCTCCTTTTCGCAGCTACGGCCCGTGGAAAAAATCGACGCGAGACCGAACGTGCCGAGCGATCGAATTCCCGGATAAATCTGTGATCTCATCTCGCCCGTTTTCCCTTTTATTTTCCAAGCAAGCGGAAGACATTCTTCAGACTTTCAGACGGGAGTCCATTGTAACGACGACGCGACGCCATAACGACCGGCCGAGTTTACTTTGGGAAATATCATTTAAAAGACGGCAACTTCAATTACGGTGGTACGCGATGGGAGACGCTGTCCTGCCTTTCTGTCCGCAACAAGTGTTCCCTTTTATGTCACCGGCGTGGAAAGATGTTCGTCGGAGACGTGTGTTTGTGCTCGATCGATTCGTACACGTTCGCGAGTATGTGTTTATAACCCCTAAAAAAAGAACGTACGAGCGTCTGTCTATCGTAAACCGTGGAAACGTCCGAATAAAATGTATCTATCCTTTCGTTCGATATTTCTCTTATTCGTATCCATTTCGAATGAGTGGCGTTGAATCGCCATGAATGACCTTGGACCAACGTTATCTGGATTGCTGAATTCGTCTTGACGTCAGCTACAAGACTCAAACGATCGTTTAAGTTTCATTTCAAAGAA